ATAGGAAGCTAAAACTGAGACCGTGTCCAACTCTCATGCCAGGCTGGAGAGAGACACATGGCAGGGGATTCTTCCAGCCGCACCTGTGTGACTCTTCACTCTGGGAGCTGCTTCCGAGCGTGGGAGGCTCCATTTCCTGTCAGGCCTCGTGCTCTGCGCACCTAGCATCCTGGTGCTTTCCCCAGGCACGCTCTGGGTCCTCTTTCTTCTTTGTCCTCTAAGATTCTTCCCAAGCAGGTAGAGCCCTCACAGGCTGTCCTTAAATAGAAAACTCAAGCTATAAGTCCTCCCCATACTGTGTCCACTTAAAACCAAGAAGAGAAATGTCTTGGTGTCCTTTTATAACAACTTAACTATCCCTCTTGTCCCTTCCTCAAAACTTTACTGGGAAGGAACATGGAGAAAGGAAATAACTCTTTTGAACACAGCCCTAAGGTAAGATACTATTCTGCCTTCTTTGAAATGGCTTTTCTAATGGGAAATGGGTTTTAGAGAACTGTTTTAAGAAGGAAGGAGCATTAGATTGAGTTTGGGGGATGAACATGACCCCTCTGTACCCCTGCCACCGTTGCTGTGTTGTTGAGATCCTGCAACCAGAAAAGCTGTACAGTTGGAAATAGGACTAGGCTACAAGATCCATCGAGGAGAGCTTGTCTGTTTGTTTCATTGCTATATCCCCAGTGTAGAATTTATACAATTTGAAGGCTTTAGAATGTACCAGGCAATTAGTGGGAATGGGGTAGTAGAAGTAGACCACTTAATACAGTAAGATGTAAAATAAAGCTACAGGCTTTGCAATCAGCAGTCATTTAATATATGGACAATTAAGCCTGAAGCCCTTAACATTATAGGAAAAGGTAGATTTTTTTTTTTCTTTCTCCTAATCTAGTGAAATTATATAGGCAAATTCATTCTGGTGATCTGTGGTGAGGGTTCCAGGTCTACTCTGAGCATCATGGAAAAAGGAGTGGCTTGAGTAACATGGCTCAGAGGGGCAGGGCTGGGCAAGGACAAGCAGCATCCTGAGAGAAGACTACCTGGATAGTGCACCGGATGATAGGCTGGGTGCCTGATAAAGAAGGAAGAGTTACTGTTTTCATAGTGCTAAAAAAAAACAAAACACCCAAACCCATTCAAACCCCAGCACATTTCCATTAAAATGATGAACACTATAAGCATTTTGATACATAAATGGTTTTAGCCTTTTTACTCCAAAATATGTCACTCCTTGAAAATTTGAAATGAATGTCATTGACAAGATCCATAAAGAAGTGATAACATTAACCATCTCACTGACATAGATCAAGCATCCAAAGCTGTGAAAAGGATGGATGGGGTATAAATAAAAGATAGTTATTTATTTAGTTCAGCTCCAGTTGATACTCTGAGAGTTAATATCTTAATACTCATTTGAGTACTTTTCTGCCTTGTACTTTCATTTTACAAAAAAACCCCACCTCAGATTATAAAAATGGCTCTTGAAGAAGCATGATTTTCTTGCTTGAATTTTTTAATTGTAATTGAAGGATAGTGTGTGCAATTCTGGTCGCAAATTCCATAAGCTAGTTTGAAGTAATGAATCCAACAAATTTTAGAGATTGTTCTAATGAGCTTATGATGAAGAAATAGGAGTATCAAGTATTAACCTTTGATTTTGTGAAGAGCTGTAGAATAAGCATGATTAAATTCATTCACAGTTCTTAGATGGGATTATGGATGCTGAAGTAGTTTGTGGAAAAAATGGTAGCTTTTATGCATCCTGTGTACATTTTTCTGTTTAAGGAAGAGGAAATGTATGTTTTCTTTTTCCCTGTATATGCTTTTGACTTCTAAGAGAACTTTGACTTCTTTATTCAGACTCACAGCTTGTCAACTTCTCAGGTTCCCTCATCTGATACTTATCAGTGTACTGATTAGACTTCATCGTAGAATTACATAATTGTATGAAGAAGAACTCTCTTTTCCTACCTTGCTTATTCATGCTTGCATTTCACTTTAGAATTTCAGAACTAACCATTCCTGGGATACTTAGTCTAACGTGATCTGGATGGGATTTTAAAAACTACAGGCTTTGTAAATTTGTAAACAGCTTTTTGGGGTATTCTTTGCATTTTAAGCATTCTCATTAAATTTTTCTCTTTTATTAACTGATTAACTCTTACATTCATACCGTTTACAGCTGCCCAAAGAACAAACAAATACGTCTTGGTAAGGCTGCAGCCAGAGTACTCTTTGGAAGCAAGGATGATGAGTCTTTGCCTCACATACTCTGGGCATGTTGCTAAGAGGAACTATTTTGAGGGACATGATGCTAGGAAAGGTGGAGGGTTGGCAAAAGAGAAGACCCTCAACAAGTGGATTAACACGGTGACTGCTCCAGAAAAGGCTCTCATGTGTCAGGAAGTGTGAGGATGGCGCAAGATAGGACAGGATTTAGATTTGGTGTTCATAGGGTTGCACTTGACGGCAGCTAACAATAACATATATATAATTGTGAGCTTTGTTTTTTTAATACTTTTTTATAGAAGTACGTAGATTGTACCTTCAAAATAAGAAAGTTTGTTCATTTCCAGATTGCCTTGTTGATAACTGGGTCCTACATTTGCAGCGGTTCCAGTTTTAAGGCTAGTAAGAAATGACACCTGACTTCTAACTGGGACCACTAATTAAGATTTTGTCTGTATAATTTGGTTTTCCAGAAACGTTATTCATTCACATTAGTTCTTGTTAACAAATATTTAATGAAGATCAGCTCTGTGCCTTATACTAAAGTTAGTAGATCATTAGGCAGAAATGAAAGAAGTATAAATAAATATGGCCCATGGTTTCAAGGAGATTAAGCTTCATTGGGGAAGCAGGATAACTATGTAACGTCAGTTTGGATATCCTATTTAAATAATGATTCGGGATAAATAGGGACTCAAATGTTCAGAAAACTTTGTGCAAAGGAAGTAAGAATCATTTTTGTTTTAGTCAAGTTATTTCTTTGCCATATGAAAAGGAAGAATGAAATGTAGAATAAACTGAAATAGGCTATATGGGAAAGTCTGCAGTCAGGGACGTCTCCAGAGTATTCAAGAACAATGATGTCCGTTTGAAGACCAAGATGCACCTTATTCAGGCCATGTCTTTGTAGTCACTTGCTTTAATGCTGACACTGTTTAGTGAATAAGGATGACAGAAGAAGAATTGATGCCTTTGAACTGTGTTGTTGGAGAAGAGTACTGAATATCTCATAGATGGCCAAAAGAACAAACTGATATGTCTTGGTGAAGGTGCAGCCAAAGTGCTCCTTGGAGGCAAAAATTCTTAAATTTCACCTCACATACTTTGGGCATGTTGCTGGGGGAGGCTGTTCACTGAGAGGGACATCATGCCTGGGGTGGTGGAGGGACAGTAAAAGAGAGGAAGACTTAACCAGGTGGATTGACCCCATAACTGTGGACATGAGCTTGCATGTGTCAGAGATTGTGAAGATGGCACAGGATAGAACAAAGTTCAGATCTGCTGTTAATAGAGTCACTATGAGTCATACTCTTAATGGCACCTAAGAACCACCAAAAAAAAGGGGGGGGGGGAATCAGCTGTTTCAGTGTTATCTTCATTGTCTTTCAGAGAATCTTTTCTTTTTCTTTGAAGTTTTGTCCATAAAATGAAGTAGTGTTTTATTTCTAAAATACTCAGATGAGGGAACATATTATTGGCACATAGTTTGGTGGTTCCCCCCCCCCTACATTTTACTATGGTTTAGATGGAAGTTTACAGAGTAAATTATTTTCTCATTCAACAGTCTATGCAATGTTTAAAAAATAAAATTACTGCAACTCCTTGCTATATTTCTAGGAATATTTCTACTTCTTCCTTGATTTCTTATTTTCTGTTTGCCCGTCTTTCCTGCCTTCTGAACTCTGTTGGTTTTGTTTTTGTTTTTTTTTAAATTCTGCCCTTTGGTGTCATATGGTTGAATGTTCTGAGGGTCCTGTTCCTCATGTGTGTAATTGTCTATTTTATAGGCCTCTCTGTTGTTTGGCTGAAAAATACTGTCAGGGAGTGGGTTCAGTTCCAGATTTGAAGGTTGTCTTAGGGCCATAGTCTTGGAGTTCCCCATTCTCTACCAGACGGGTACATTTGTCCTTTATTATTCTTTTTTGAATTTTGTTCTACATTTTAAAATTCACTGTGTCTGGACTTTTTATTGTCTATTGGTCTTCTGTCGGGATGCTGGACACCATCAACCTTTTATGATCTTGGACTGGTGGAGACTGGTTCATGTGGCCTATTAGGCCTTTGGTTTTTTTTTTTAGTTTTTGTTTTACATAATTGTTTTTTTTTTATTGATATAATTTATAATTGAAAAAGTTACTAGAATCAAACTTAATTGTAACTTGTTATATATGTATTGTGAAAATCAAATCCATTGCCATCATATTAATTCCTACTCCTCACAACTCTATTGGATAGAGTAGAATGACCACATAAGATTTCCAAGGCCATCACAGTTCGTCTCTGAAACACCTGGTGAATTAATACTGCCATCCTTTTTAGTAACCACAGTGGCACCAGAACTCCTGTAACTTGGATATAGATACTGTTTAAAAAAAAAATACTAGATTTGCAGTGGTAGAAGAGATAAACATGCTATTAAAATTCTATGCAAATATTTGTGTTCATGCAGCATTAAGTGTTCAAATGTATTACCACTTGGGAGTAGGTATTTCATTAGTGAGTTTAGAATAATTGTGCTTATAGTTTTTATGAAAAATAATTGTCCAGAAATCAGCATGTAATGATACTCATATTTGTTGAAATTAATCTTGAATGTCTGCTTCTCTAAAATCGGGTAAAAAGTTTAGAAAGGTAGGTATTATGGGTAAAGAGTGAGTTAGTACTAATATGTGTGCTCGATGGCAAAAGTTATTGCCCATTTCATGTTAATATATGGGTTGAGGGTATCATTTAGGTAAAGTTAAAACTGTATTTTCTCTTTCTTGTATCTGTAGACAGACAAACATACACTTGGGACCACCGTGCTCACGTGACATCAAAAGGAAGCGGAAACCTGTGGCCACAGCTTCTCTGTCTAGCCCTAATGCAGGTAATTATATGTAGTTACCATTTCCTGGGCATCCACTGTGTCAGGCACTATATTTTCAGTTTTACACACTTTTCAATCTAATCTTTGTAACAAGGTAAGTTGATTTACTCCCACTTTACATGGAAAAACAGGCTTTGCAATGTAGTTTGCTCAAGGTCACATACATTTTAAGAATTCAAACCAGTTGTGTCTGAGCCTGAAGCCTGTGCTTTTTCACTGTGTCACTCGACTTTCTTGCGTTTGACACCTGTAACCCATCTGTCTTTGGAGCAGCCTTCAGTCATCTGAACTTTCCTGACACAGAGAAGAAAACAGGGTCCATATTAATGAAGCTCGGGTAGGAATGGCTTTTTTGTCAGGGAGTATCATGAGTGTTTCTCTACTTTATTTGGTGTTCAGAACAATAGAATACTTAAATGTGAGTAGAGTAGTAGCATTTTACAAATCATGAAATTTCTAATAAAAACTTTTTTTCAAGTTAAAACTGTCAGTTTTGGTGGCGAAACTAATAGTAGTTTGTAGAAGCCAAAATAATGGTTATCTTTGGTGACAGGTATTGACCAGGAGAGGGAGTAGAGAAGCCTACTAGGAAGCTGGAAATGTTTGAGGTTGTGAGCTGAGTGTGAGGGTTCTATGGTGCTAACATAGGTAAAATTTTATTGAGTTGTATGCCTAAGATTTATGCACTAGATTCACTGTAGATGTGACCCCTAAATGGAAAAGAAAGGAAAAAAGGGAGGGGTAGAAAGGATCGTTGGGCTTGTATTCACATCAGCAAGAATGTAGTGTCTCTTTGGCCTGAGTAATACTCATAGGACATCCTTGGGCTTATTTCAATACAGTTTAGGATTGATAACTCTGAAGAGAAAGATCACACCTGTTTGTAGGACTTTTGTTGGAATGGCTGCTTAATGATGATACATCATCTTTGTCTTGATAATCATCACAGTGATGATGATAGTAAAGATATACTAGGCATTGTTTCAGTTAATCTTTGCAAGAGATTGATTCTCAGTTTCCAGATAAGAAAACTGAGCTACTTCTTGTCCCTGTTACATGCTGCCCAATCATTGACAACTCAGTGACCTTATAAACAGATCTGAACCTTGCCCTGTCCTACGCCAGTGCCAGCCTCTCAACCTGCAGTGTGTTTGAACGCTTGTTACAGTCACTGTGTCAGTCCATCTTGTTGAGGATCTCTCTCTTTCTCTCCCTCCCTCCCCCTCCCCACCTTGCCCAGCAGCAGCATGTCTTTTTCTATGGACTAGGCCCCTCTTGTCTATATACCCAAAATGTGTGACACAGAATCTCACCATCCTCGCCTCCCTGCTCAATAACCAGGTGCTCTGGACTCCAGAGCTGCCATCTGAAACACTGCAGGGGTTCTGTCTGTTTACATGCAGTAGGATTGGTGTCAAACTGGAACCCCACATGAACGTCTACACCCTCCGCTAGTCCAGAACATGCAAAGATTAAGAATTCTCCTTTCTTCCCCCCCCCAAAAGTTAATTATTTTTTGATTACTAATGTCTAGCTTCTGTTTATAATCTTTCAGTTCTTCAAAAGAGAAAAACCTATTGGGAAGAGTTTAAAATTCTTATTCCATATTGAAATTGGGACATAACACGGCTAGATCCTGAACAAGACATGAACATTGAGCATTTCCCGTCCAGAGCCCCCTTCTTTTCTCACTTGTTGACTGAGCCCTGCTTCGCTGAACACTTGCTCTTTTTTCTCCTCACAACCTGAGTGCCCCATGGAGGTGAAGGACATAGCCCGAGCCTGCGCCATCAGTCAGTAGAACAAATGGGCTTGCTCTGCCTAACATCGGGCCATCTCAGATTCCACCTCTTTTATAGAAATGAGTGATGAAGAGAGGTGCGTTCCGCTTTGCCGCTGTATTAATACACATCAGGGGCCAGCTCCTGGCACTAAATCACGCTCCTGCATACATCTGTTATCAGACTCCTCACCGGTGTGATGAACAAGACTGCAGATAGAGGCTTCCTTGTGTCATTCTTTATAGGATTTTCCTAAAAGAATAAATAGCTCAGATCTCTGCCGACACTCTCCCCTGTCACTGTGATGAATTCAGCTCCCTTCTTAAACATGCAGCTACAAATCTTCTCCCTTCCCCTCCTCCCCACGGAGAGAAAGTTTTGAGTTGAAATTGGCTGAATTTAGAGATACTAATAAGGTTGGAGAAGTGAAGAGCAGGAACAAACAGCATAACTTTCTCTCTTTTTTTTTTTCACTAAATCATTTCCAAAGATCAGGGAAAATGACCCTTGTATATGATCACTGAGTGGTCCCTCTGCAAAGTGTGGCCCCTTTCTTTTAATTTCCCTCCTGTCTCCTTTTGGACTTGCAGCGTGTGTGGGTGTCTGATGTCCAGAGCCGTACCCTGACATCAGCAGGTAACTGTGAATCAATCAGTTTCTGATTGACACCATAGGGAGACCTAGCAGGTCTCTATCTCATACTAAAATGAACAGCTGTAAACCACAAAAAGCCTGAACCATTGTTGTCTAGTCCATGTGAATACAAGAGAAAAAAGTGAAAGTAAAATGTGAAGCTAAGTGGCAGTTAGAAACACAAGGAGGAACTTGGACAAAAACCAGATATCCTTTCCTTGTGATGATTCTCATCAACATGGCAGATCAGAATCTTTGGAATGCAAATTCTAACACTTCCAAAAGTAAATATATGATTTTAAGTAAAAAGGAGGTGGAATAAATGAGGCTCAATTCAGAGCCCTGACTTTCTTGGCTATTGAAAAAAGCCTTTTCCGACCTTCCTCTCCCTAGTGTAGGATATGTGATCTTAAGCATAATTTGGAAAGGCACCTAGTGGTGAATCTGTTAATTAGTTACATCAGACCCTGAAGATCAGACCAGTGGTGCTGGAGATGCATTCACAAGGGCAGGGTTTTCTGAATCTGTCTTGTTCACTGCTACACCTCTGGCATCTAAAATAATACCTGACACTTAGAATGAGCCCTGCTGTATGAATGAGTGGATAGAATCTTAAAATTGACAATGAGTTGTCCTCAATATTATTCCAAGTTCATGATTGAATTCAGTAGTTCCTTTTTAGGTTGACTCTTTGTACTGGGTCTTATAAGGCAGATTTTTATTACTTGCAATGCTTTAGTTGTTTTTTTTAAGTTGGTACTGAGTGGCTATAAGGGATATTTATAAAACATATGTAAGGTGAAATGTATAATGATACAACAAATATCCATATGCCCAATTTCTCTTCTTAAAAGGTAGCCAGTGTCCTAGTTTTTGTCATTTATTACTTTTTTCCCCAAACATTTTTTGTAATTTTTTTATTTTAATAATTTTAATGAACATTTACAGAGATTTTGGATTTCCATTCATTCATTGCTGCATTTCTCTCCATCACCCCCCCCACCCCCCAAGTTTGCTCCTCTCTTTGAAAAGTAAAAGAAAAACTCCCTCCCTGGTACACAATCCCCCCGCACCCCTCCCACCGCCCCAAGTACATTCCACTATGCAACCTTAATTGTTCCCTAAATATTTTTAATAGACATCTCTAAATAGTATATATCCTACTTTTGCATGCTTCTGAATCTTGTATAAATGGAATCAAACTGTATGTCATCTTTCCCAAACTATAAATTACACCCAGTTCTGTTGGGATTTGTTCATGTTGCATCCTGCCAACATTCATTCATTTTCACTGCCATGTAATGCTCTGTTTTGTGATTATGATGAATGTCCTAACCTGGCAAGGCAGGGTTGTGTCCTGCTTTATGCTGTTGTGAAGAACACTTAACTGTGTCTCTGAGAAAACAAATGTAAAAATGTCTCTCCTGTGAAGTGTCTCCCAACTATAACTTGTGCCTGTATAGTAAGCGTTGATAAAGTTCTGTGAAATTTACTTTCCATTAACTATCAGTGTGTGCATATTTGGGTTGTGATATAATACCTACTTATTGCCGCTGTGGTTGAGGTTCTAAAACATTTTCAAACCACTGCTGTCAAGAATTTTTTTGTATATCCACCAGATTGGTAGCTTTCATGATTATCTTCCTGTAACCCTCAGGAAGGCATTTATGTTTGAATGTGTGTGGGGGTGTGTATGAAAATCTAAAATAAACCTTTGAGTGCACCTTGATAGTTTTAATTCTTTTTTACTATTGTTGTGTATCATCAAGTTGGAATTGACTTATGTTTTCAGATGTAGTGATGCCTTACCAGTAGGCCACCAAAGTGTCCTCCTTCTTCACTGTTGTGAACCATCGAGTCTGGAGCAACCCATAGCTGACCTTCTAGTGGGTGTCAGAGGCAGTAAATTACACGGGAGGAGAGTGTCCCTCTTTCTCCCGAAGAGCAACTGGTGGATTCGAACTACATGCCTTAGTGTTGGCAGCACAATTTCTTAACCTCTGTTGTTTGTGCTGTCGAGTTGACTACACTTCATAGCGACCCTATGAAGAGCAGCTCTGAACCCTGTCCTGCACTGTCCTCATCATCTCTGACACACTTGAGCCCATCACTGCAGTCAGTTCTTACCACTAGGCGGAGAGTGGGAGGAGGGGGACCCAAAGAAGTGAGCACGGTCCACGGAATTGATTTTGTAACTCACAATTTGTAAAAAGTTCTAGGTCCCACTTGTAGGAATGGACTTACCATCAAGTCTGACCCCTCACAGTGACCCTGTATGTGAGCAGTAGATCAAAGCGCTGCCCACTCCCGAGTCCTCCTCACAGTCACTGCTGTGTTCACGGCCGTTGATGCAGCCACTGTGTTGAAAGGCTTCCTTTTTATTGCTGACCCTCTGCTTTATTAAGCATGCTGTTCCTCCCCAGGGCAGAGCCCTCCTGATAACATGTCCAGAGTATGTGAGACAGGTCTCCCCATCCTCCTTTCTAAAGAGCATTCCAGCTATATTTCTTCAGAAACAGATTTGTTCTTTTGGTAAGTCTGTGAGATATTCAGTATTCTTCTCCAACAACACAATTCAAAAGACATCAGTTCTTGGTTCTTTCTTACTCATTGTCCCAGCTTTCATATGCTTATGAAGCAATTGAAAATACCATGGCCGGGCATACCTTGGTTTTTAAATTAACAGATAGGCTTTTTAGCAGACATACTCAATGCAATAACAGCTTTTGATTTATTTGTTAACTGCTGTTTCCCTGGGTGTTGATTGTGGAACCCAGTAAAATAAATTCCTTGACACGGTCAGTCTTATCTCTGTTTTTAATTATGTTGCCTTTGGCTCAGTTGTGCAGATTTTTCTAGATATTGATGTTTAATCCATAGTGAAGGCTCTACTCTTTGGACTTTATCAGTAAGTGCTTCGAAACCTCTTTCAGCAAATAAGCCTGCCATCTGTGTATCATAGATTTTTAAAAAATTAATTTTAATGAGATTTTGGATTTCCATTCATTCATTGTTGCATTCTTCTCTTTAAAAAGTAAAAGAAAAAATTCTTTCATTATTATACAATCCCTCCCCCCAAGTACCATGCAGCCTTTGTTCTGGACTCATGTCATGACAATAATACCTAATCATATATGCCTTTTAAACTGTTCTCTCTCTCATCTGTTTGAATGCAGTATATATAATTTATCTCGTATTTCTCAGCCTCCCCCCCAACCCTTAGGTCAGTCCCGTTTTACAACAGTGGCACTATGCAATATTTGTTCTTTTGCGACTAAGATATTTCACTCAGCATAATGTCCTCCAGGGTCATCCATTTTGAATAATGTTTCATGAGTTCCTTGTTTTTCAATGCAGTGTAGAATGAGTCTTCCTACAATCCTGCTCGTACCTTCTTCCTTAGTTTCTCAGATACTTATTTTTTTTTTTAGTTTCTCACTTAATTTAGTTTCTCCAATTATTTGTTTAGTTAGCATACAGATTGAATAAATATGATACTGGTATACAGCCCTGACACACACCTTTCCTGATTTTCAATCATGCTGTATTCCCATGTGCTGTTTGAAGCACTTTCGTGTCCTTTCTGTACTGTATAAGTTCTGCATAAGCACGATTAAGTATTCTCATTGTTTGCAATATTACCCATAATTTGCTATGATACACACAGTTGAATGACCATGCCTTTGCATAGTCGGTAAATACAACTTTCTGCGGAGATCCGTCAGCACATATTTTCCAAGTCAAGCTCAAGTTTTTGGCTGTTACCTGTTGATGTACTGCTGCAACTATTTTTGAATTATCTTTAGTGAAACTTTTCTGATCTGTGACGTAAAGGATATTGTTCAATCATTTTCTACTTTCTGTTGGATTACCTTTGCTTGGAATGGGCACAGGTTTGGATCTCCTCCTGTCAGTTGGCCAGGCAGCTCAGCTTCCATATTTCTAGGCCTATATGAATAAGCCCTTGGGTTTGTTGAACCGTCGTGGTTGATAGTGTTTCCATCCTGGGAACTTTGGTTTCCCTCAGTGTCTTCACTGCAGCGTGGCATCTTCCTTCATCATCATCGGTCCTTCATCACATGATGCATCCAGAAATGGTTGGCTGCCAAACGGGTCTCCATGGTACACGGACTTTGTGTTATTTCTGTCTTCTTTGCATGCTTCCTGTATCTTTCAGTATTTTTGCCCATCTCACTGCCGTGGAGGAAGTCCTGGTGGCAGAGGCTGTAGGGAGTTGCACTGCTCACCAAGAGATTGCACCTCTCGGGCAGTAAAAAAGCCACCATCGTGCAACAGTGAGTGAATGAAAACCCAGCCTCTCTGTACACTTCATTAACATCCCAGTTAAAACAACAACAAAAGTCCAACAGCTGATCCTCAGGAGAAAGATGGACAGTCTCGTTCCATGTGACTTATAGGCTCACTGACTCTGACACACCTGTCTCCATTGCCCCAGTTACTCTATCAATCCATCTCATCTAGGATCTTCCTCTACTACACTGTCCTCCACCTTTTCAAACATGATGTCCTTCTTTAAGGACCAGTTCCTCCTGGCCACGTGCCCAGAGTCTACAAGACAGAGCTTCAAAATCCTAGCCTCCAAAGAGAAATTTCAACTCTCTAAGAAGACCTGTTTGTTTTCTTGGCAGTCCATGGTATGTTCAGAACTCCAGCACAACAGCTCAAAGGCGTCAGTTCTTCTGTTATCCTTCTTCACTGTCCAGCTCTCTGATGCATTTGCAAGTAATTGTGAAGACCATGTCACTATTTTTATTATGGAAAAAAAATATATTCCCAATGTCTATTTTGTTGGTCTTGCAAAATTCTATCATGTCTTGTTTTCAGTGTTATTCCTATTATTAAGGCCATAATTTTTAACTTCTGATCCTTGTTTCCAAGTTTTACATTCTAATCCCCAGTGATAATCAGTGCATCTTGAGCACATGTTTGATCCATTTCAGACTACAGAAATTGGTTCTAAATCTTCATTTCTTCATTGTGGCATTAGTGTAGGTGCATCCTTTCCCTGTAGGGCCATGTGGGAATGTGAGCACGAAGTTTGGTCATCACAGTGACTAAGAACATGGTGTTGACATTCCAGTGAATGCGATCCAGAGGGTAAGTGTCCCAAAACAGAGATGACCTCACATGAGTATCTTATTCCGAATGTTGTTAATGTCCTTGTGGAAAAACAAGCCTGTTGTATTATTTTCTGTCATTTTCTTCATTGGTGACACTGTCATATTGATCTCTGTAAGCCTTATTTTTCCATTCTGCAAGAATGACGTGACAATTCATATGTCAAAGGATTTTCATTAAGAAATAAGACGAGAGTGTGGTATTTTAGCAGTGCCATAACTAGCACATAAGTCGTTACCAGGTGATTATGACTACTACATGGTGAGCATGTCTTAAATATTGCAGGCTTTTTTTATTTTAGTGAAGAAAGAAAGGAAACCTTGGGAGGATACTTGGATTAATGTTGTGTGCTGTCGAGTTGGAACTGACTCATAGCTGACCCTCTAGCAGGTTTTCGGAGGCTGTAAATGGCCTGAGTGGAGATGCCCATCTTTCTCCTTCAGAGCAGCTGGTAGACCCAAACCGAGTGCCTTTTAGGTTGCAGCACAGCTCCTTACCACTAAGCCACCAGAGCCCCCTCGTGGGCTACTATAAGACATAAAGATTAAGGAAGTTGTGTTATTCTGTTGGTCTCAATTCTAATTTGTTTCCTCTTGATTTTCCTTCTCACTTTTGCCGTAACGACCTTTCCAGTTCACACGGACGCAGTGGAAGTAGCCCCACCAGCAGCTCATGCTCCGAAATCTCCAAGCCCTGAGTGGTCTATCCGAACGTCTGCTGCAGAAAAGGCCGCCAACTCGCCTACAACCACGTTTTTTAAAATGCCTCAAGAGAAGAGCACTGGGTGCAGCTAGAGAGGAATGCTTCACCTGCCAGGAGCGGACTGTTGAAGCCGATTTTAGACTTTGTATTATAGAGTCTTGTTTATCTTAATAATTGTCCATCTGTCTTTTCGTCCTACCACCACCAAGACTAAGACTGGCTCCTCTGCAGACAGAGCAGTGGATTCTTCCTCTTGGAAACCATGCTGTGGAAATCTAGGTGGTTTTTTGGTTTGGATTGGGTTTTTTTAAAATCTTTTTTAAAATTAGCCAGGTGTTGGGACAGCAATTTTTTTTAAAAAAATTCATGTCTTACTGGGTTGTATCTGTTGTGTTGTTATTATTGCTGGCCTGACATCTGCCGACAGCTTCATTTACAAAGTCGTTGCTTTTTTTTGCAGTTGTGTATTTGTTGTTGAAAAACTGGTGACTGCCTTTGCACCCCCTTTGTGTAGAGCCTCCAATGTCAGTGGAAGAAGATTCAAGTTTGCCAACAATTCCGGAAAGATGGGAACGCTGATTTTAAGCCTGTGTGGAATTGTGCTTGTATGAGTAAGGTTTGCCTTCAGGCCTGGTCTTGACTCACTCGGTGTGCCAATTATTGAAATTGCCACTTTCTGCAGGCGCCTCAGAGGAAACACCAGCCGCATGGGCCTTGGGAGCATCTTTCCCTCTCTGCAGCTGGTCTCATGGGATCACCAGTGGCGTCTCTCCAAAATCGTTCTCTCCAGAAGGATGGCCTGTAAAGCTCCACAGATTGGTGTTATGATGGCATTGGGTTGGGTGCTCAGCAAACTTGGTCAGCGAATTGTTTCTTAAATCATGACACAGTGTAAGCCTTTATGTGCTCAGTGTCACTTTTATTAGTACTCTAGGTCAGTAACCTGAAACAGAAGTTCATACTCTATTATAATAATGGCTTCTTGGGGCCATATTTGGGGAGGAAAAATGACTTTTTGGCATGCCTCTTTACTTGGCATGTTTATGATGGCTCAGCTGCGTAGAGAGTTATATATACAGTCGTGCCTGGAGTTGGATGACTTTGTCAAAATGAGGAATAAGTGACTGCCTGGAGCTTCTAGGGGAAAGCCACCCTTTCTCAGAAGTATCATCAGGCGTGCCTGTCATTCAGGGCCCTGGGCTTCTGAACAGAGGGCTCCTTTAGCTCTCTAAAGGAGGGTGTATGTCCTGCTCGGTTAGCATCCTAGAACAACCCCAGTCCTGTATCTTCGCTTTCTGCCTTTAAACAGATGCTCAGTGGGTGGTGTTTCCTCCAATTGTAACTTCCCTGTTTTCTCACACAGGCTATCACAGCCACTGCTGTCTCATGTTCCTTCATGGTCCTTACCAGTGGTAGGTTCAGAATGTCTGTGTTGATGGAGGTGGTAATGAACCTGGGGCTTGAAGCTAAGTTTACATAGCACTTTATGTACAACTAAGAAAATACCATTGTCCAAAACAAGGATAGTGGCAGAAGAAAGGGCAAATGAAGAGTCTGGGGTGAGGTGGGTGGGGTAGGGTGTGAAAAATGCCACAGCCAGCCCTGAGCCACCCTGGCCCAGAGGTCTTCAGGGCTGACCTGCACACCCGGAAGAGCAGGTATGTGTCACTTATCGTCCGTCTGGGATATTATACATCCCAACTGTATATACATCCTTAGTCTCATAGGATTTTTGTTTTTAAAGGGAAAGCAGCTTTTCTCTTGTTTATTATTTTCCCCTAATGGTGTTCAAGACCCCCAGACTGTGGCAGCGCTGAACCATGGATGACGTCCTGAGAGATCGGGCAGAGGTTGTGGCTCTGGGCCCAGATTTAGACTTTGCATGGCAGATAGACGGGTTGCTGGTCCCCGGCTTTTTGTGTTGTTCTGGCGATTGGAACAGCACTTGAGGCGAGACGGGCTCCCCACTCTCCCCGCTCACTTCCTCATGCTCTGCTCCTGCCCTCAGCCCAGCAGCCCATGTTGCTGCCGCCATGGTTCCTCCAGCTCCCACCAGCAGTGACAAGGATGCTGAGAAGTGGGCTCCCTCTCATAAGGTTTAAATACGATATTCCTGCAGTGTCCCAGTCACATGGAATGTATCGTAGACCTTAAGCAGTGTATACCGTCATATTTGCATTCTCACCTAGTTCCCACAGCTGCCCGGGACACTTCTTTAATGTAGTTGGTTGCATTCAGAGGCGAGACCTTTGGATGTGTGTTATTATCTTTGTGCCAAACTCCATGGCTCCTGTTGAGATTGATCTTACGGTGGCCCATTGAGACTGCACAGTTCAGGTGGCAAAGGTGTTCCACGTGTTCGTTCCTTTCCCCCTAGCATGTGGTCTAGCACTCCTTTCTAGCTATAATTAAAAATAATTTTTGTATACACTTTTTTGCACATTTTAAACCTCTCTGTGATGTAAGAGTAGGTGCAGTCACAGAGATAGTGACTTGCCCCAAATCCAATAACCAGGCTAGACGAAAGCAGCAGGTCTTCTCTGCCCTGGGTTTTAGAATCTTTGGTTTCCATTGCTCGAGAAGAGTCAGTCTGAAACCCTTGTTTATAGAACATTACTCCTTGAGTGTTTCTCATCTTCCTCGGCATGCTTTTCAAGTTTCCCAGCAGTCGCCCACGGAACAGCATGTCCCTGATGCCACTGGAGAAGAAAGTTATTTGTCGGTGAGAATGACTGGCAAGCACACAGTGCTGTCCGCCATAGGGCTGTAATTGTGCTCCTCGGTTTAAGGTGCTGCAAGTGCTTAGTAAGGAATTATTATCCAACCGTTCTCTTATTTGACTCTTTTTCTGTATAAGTCTACCCAACAACAACCTTCGAATCTAGTGTATTATTAAAATGAAAGTTTCCTTTTTTTATATGACACAATGTATAATATCACTAATTAAGAAAACCCTTTAACCTTTTTTGGAAAAGACAGGGTTTTACAATCAGGTTTTGTAATCAGTGTTGGAAAAAACCACCCCATTGCCTTGTACCAGCTTACCTTGAAGAGGAAGATGATTCTTGAGCTCTTGTGTGTTTAATCTGCCCAAAAGGAGGACCCACAGCTGTAGTCCACAACCCTCGTTGATTCTGTACATCTGGTTTTTCCAAGCTACCTGCACAGACTGTCTGCATCCTAATTCTTGTGTATTATCTACAATGGGCAAAAGTCAACACAGTGTCTGTCTACTTGCAGCAAGATCATTCATAGAAGGTTGGTTTGCTTAAGGCTTTGAGATTACTTTTTAGATGCAGTATTTTAAAGGGGCACGTTTAATTGTTTCAAAACTCTTGTGTTGCTTTCTTTGTAAGAACTTTTCAGAAGACGAAATAAGTCACCATTTACATGGTGCCAAATTGGTGGGATGTGGGAATAGAATGAGGGACTTCCAGCGATGGGGTGAGGGGAAGGGTATATATAACCTCTGCTGAACAAGGTGTGGTTGGTAAATAGACCACATTTAGCCTTGGATTCTGTAGGAATCAGCTGCAGTTGAAAATTTCAGACAGTATTATAGGCTGCAAACATGATCATTCTGGCAGCAACGTGACCAAAAGTTGAAATAAAACCTCTTAATCTGTGATGCTTGTGGCATCCTTTGTCAAATCTAACTCATCCCTGAAGACAAGTCATTAAACTGTATATGAATCCCAAAGAGATTGATTTGAGATTACTTTGTGGTGTGGAATGAGAAATGCCACCTCTACCCCTTACATGCAACATCTCAATGCTTCAAAGCTGAGGTGAGTTCTGAGATCGCCTAGGCTGAAGAGGTTGTACAGTGTTGAGAGGGAAGCTGGGTAGGTACAGTTGTTGATGGGGTCTCCACATGATCGTTTCTAGGGGTGCATGACCCATGTCAGGGCATTATTTGGCTTTGTTTCTGTGGCTCTGGGGAGGCCTTGCACACAACTCAAGTGGTGAGCTCTGTATCCAGTGTTCTCCGTGCCTTGTGACCCTTTCCTGGGCTTGAGATGAGATCAGGTGGCCTCCCCAGGTGTTGGTGTGGTCTAGTTGGAGACAGTGCCCTGGACCATAGTGGGAGGGATGGCAGAGGCTATAGGCTCTCGCTGGTTTCTGCTGCGTTTGTCAAGCACCTGAGCTGCCAGTATTATCTCCCAGTCAGACCATGACAGTGGAGTTACTGATGGTGGCAAGAATCCGGATGGATTTGTATCACATCCAAAAATATACATAGGGAAAATTATGGGCTCCCCATTATGAACTAAATGCAGTGACCTAGAAATGCTTTCACCTCCATGCGGAACACAGAACAGATGAAAGGCAAATGACTGGAAACAGCAGCACTGAAAACAAATGGGGAAAGGGGGCACTGTTCCTGGAGAATATGGATTATCTGGCTTTAACAAGCCCCATAAAACAAACATGGTACAAAGAAGCTCTGCTGCTACTGCACATAAGACATCATAACCCCTCGGTAAAGTTGACATAATTTGAGGATGAAAGAATGGCCAAGCTCAGTGTTGGCAAGTGAGGCAGATCTTGATGTTCACCAAGGCTAGCAGTTATGGCAGAGTAGAGAAGTGGAGAGGAAAGAGGGACGCTTAGGGCAAGCGTTCTCACGATGTCGCTGCAGTGGTCCCAGTGCCTTCCAGCTCCCAGCATACCTACTGAGTCAGGAGGGCCAGCAACTTGTGCTTGAACAAGCTGTGAAAAGAGTAAGGGCTGCATGGGGATGGCCTCATCTGACCTTTACCAACTCCATGAAGGGGAACTGTCCCTGTCAACAACATTAGCAACAAAACCAATTCTTGTGAGGTCATGCATCTCTTTCTGCTCATCCCAACACCAATTTTACTACATTACTGCATCCAGAATCCATTGCAGTGACTCACAGACCACACAGAACCATATTAGGGAATTCAAAATCTGCATATAATTCAGGTCAGTAGCAGAGGCTAATCAGTCAATCAGGACAACCTTCAAAAGTGCTTGCAGGAGCCTCAGCCTCGAGCCACACAGCATTAGGCCAGTGTTACAAAGTGCTCAGCCCTGCCAGCAGTACACCGCTACCCCCAGCCTCTGA